TGTGCTGGGCTACAAACCATCAGTTGGTCATGGGAGATTAGGCTTTCTGCTCCTTTAAAGAGTTACAACCTAGAAAACCCTTTACAGTGTCTCTATACAGGAACCAACTCGTGGCACACCACCACCATCACCACATGTTTCAGAATGACATGTCACGCAGATCCACAATCCTATAGCAGAAACTCCACAGCCGGACGTGTTTTGGAATTCAGAATTTGTCAGATTCAGAAAGATACATAGCACCTCTAGGGGGCCCTATCTGAGGCAGTACCCCATAATCAAATACATGTTATTTCTCTCATAAAACACGAACATGTACATTCACACAAAATGTGATTGTTGTTGTTATTAGGTGCCGTGGAGTCAGTTCCGACTCATAGCGACCCTGTACAGGGTTTCCGAGGCTGTAAATCTTTATGGGAGCAGAAAGGCCTCATCTTTCTCCCATGGAACAGCTGGTAGTTTCAAAGTGCTGACCTTGTGGTTCGCAGCTCGATTCGTAACCACTACGTTACCAGAGCTCCTTACAAAGTGGCATAGACAGACTCAAGATAGACCTGTGCCAGCTTGACCAAAGTTCCATCACCAATTAGTACACTTAAGGTCTGGTTTTGTGTTCAAATGACTTTGAAAAAAAAAAAAAATCTCCTATTCAGTGCAGTATTTACTAAGTTTCTGAATTGTATAAAAGGATTGTTGTTGAAGTGCTGTCGAGTCAGTTCCAACTCATAGCGAGCCTGTATAGGGTTTCCGAGGAACAGCTGAGGGTTTGAACTACAGACTTTGTAGTTCCCAGTCCAGTGCTGATCCTACAGCGCCACACCAGTCCATAAAAAGATTATGATAGGGGTTTGCAGCGACCCCACGATTGCGCAGCGCCGGTTGACGAGACCACCCTCCGTAACACCCCACTCGCTCCCTGGACCATGGCCACAGACTCATGGGCCTTGGCGGTGGATGAACAGGAAGCAGCAGCCAAGTCGTTGAGCAACTTGCATCTTAAGGAAGAGAAAATCAAACCAGATGCCAATGGTGCTATTGTCAAGACCAATGCTAATACAGAGAAGACAGATGAAGAAGAAAAAGAGGACAGAGCTGCCCAGTCCTTACTCACCAAGCTGATCAGAAGCAACCTTGTGGATAACACAAACCAGGTGGAAGTCTTGCAACGAGATCCAAATTCTCCCCTTTACTCTGTGAAGTCTTTCGAAGAGCTCCAGCTGAAACCACAGCTTCTCCAGGGAATCTATGCCATGGGCTTCAACTGCCCCTCCAAGATACAAGAGAATGTGCTGCCGCTGATGCTTGCTGAACCCCCACAGAACTTGATTGCCCAGTCTCAGTCGGGTACTGGAAAGACAGCATGGCCTTTGTGTTGGCCATGCTCAGCCAAGTAGAACCCACAAACAGATACCCCCAGTATTTGTGCCTCTCCTTGACATATGAACTCGCTCTTCAAACAGGAAAAGTGATTGAGCAGATGGGCAAGTTTTACCCGGAACTGAAGCTAGCCTATGCTGTTCGAAGCAATAAATTGGAAAGAGGTCACAAAATCGGCGAGCAGATTGTCATTGGCACTCCTGGGACCGTGCTGGACTGGTGCTCCAAGCTTAAGTTCATCAACCCCAAGAAGATCAAGGTGTTTGTTCTGGATGAGGCTGACGTGATAATAGCTACTCAGGGCTACCAAGATCAGAGCATCGTATCCAAAGGATGCTACCTAGGAAGTGCCAGATGCTGCTCTTCTCTGCCCCACCTTCGAAGACTCCATGTGGAAGTTTGCCCAGAAAGTGGTCCCAGACCCAAACATTATCAAACTGAAGCACGAGAAGGAGACCTTGGACACCATCAAGCAATATTATGTCCTGTGCACTAACAGAGATGAGAAGTTCCAGGCCCTGTGTAACCTCTACGGGGCTATCACCATTGCCCAAGCCATGATCTTCTGCCACACATGCAAGACAGCCAGCTGGCTGGCAGCAGAGCTCTCCAAAGAAGGCCACCAGGTGGCTCTGCTGAGTGGCGAAATGGTGGTGGAGCAGTGAGCCGCTGTGAGCGCTTCTGAGAGGGCAAAGAGAAGGTTCTGGTGACCACCAAAGTGTGTGCCCGTGGTACCAATGTGGAACAAGTGTCTGTCGTCATCAACTTTGACCTTCCTGTGGACGAGGATGGGAACTCAGACAATGAGACTTAACCTGCACCGGATTGGGCACACCGGCCGCTTTGGCAAGAGGGGCCTGGCCGTGAACATGGTGGACAGCAAGCACAGCATCAACATCCTCAGTAGGATCCAGAGCATTTTAATAAGAAGATAGAAAGACTGGACACAGATGACTTGGATGAAATTGAGAGAATCGCCAACTGAGAAGCTCCCCTAGCACCAGTGTTCCCTCCTGCGCTCCCCACGGGAGATAGTGCTTTCCCTTTATCCCACCAGAGACAGAGGTACGAGTAGAATAAGCTACCTACCTCATTTCAATTACGTTTGGACCTGATGAAAAAAATTGTGCGAATGATGGGGGAAGGTAGAAAAAAAATTTGTTTTTATACAACTTTTCAAGATTAGGCATGAATACACAGAAATTTACCTTTTGGGGGGGGAGGGGGAAGATAGCCACAGAGAGCTAGAGCTGAGAGTGAAGCATCCAGCTGATAAGAAGTGAGGGGAGATGCACAAGAACACCCAAACTTGCAGACAGTACCCATTTGACCTAGCTTCGATGGCTTGATAATCAGAACTTGACTAGACAAAGATTACCAAAAAAAAAAAAAAAATTTTTTTTTTTATAAAGGAAACAAGGGCAAATTGCTACAATTTGATGAACCTGACCTATACTCATGGAGGCAGTAACTCTAAATCCCAACAGAGAGGGTAATTTACTTCACATCAAGTATCAATGCTATCCCCTCTGTACACAGGGTAGATAGGGACAGGCAATTTAGACATTGGCTACCTAAAATAAGGGGCGATAAAGTCACGAAGTGACTGGCTTACAAGGTTTTAAGAGGGAGTTTAGTTTAAGAGTATGAGGGGAAAGAGAGTCCCCACTGAATAGCTGTCATCTTGTCTAGATGAGTCTGGTGAAAAGAGATGGGGATAAGATTCGTATGATTCAATAGTGAATAACGTATCATGACTAATTGCAGCTGTCACAATTGTAAAGGTAGAAGTTTTGTAACAAAAACAGGGGAGTGGTTAACCTTACAGTCCAGAAACAGAGGACCCTAAGACCATCAAGAGAGGAATGCACAAATAGAATGCGGGGCCTTATGCAGAGAAGCAGCAGTGCCAGAGATGGAGCCAGAGATGGGGGCATGGAGAGGGGAAGTGGCTGAGGACTCTAGATTCATGGACTAAGAAGAGAGGGACTAAGAGCTGGTGGCCAGCAGGCAAACTTGCAGAATGTCCCCTTTGGAGGTGAAAATTATTATATATGTCAGAGTGGTTTTGCTTTTACTTTTTAAAAAAAAGCTAAACTGAATAGAGAGAAATACTGTTAACTGATGGTACATGGAGGGAATTATAATCATTGTAATGAAACAAGGTGTATGATTTGTTGAATGTAAAACTGATCATCTGCCCTGTAAACTTTTACTCAATCTGCAATAAAAAACCTTAAAAAAAAAAAAAAACAGATTATGAACCTTTTAATGTTTAAACTGAGTTTGTCTATTACTAAATGCGGCACTTCTAGCCATATGCCTCCATTCTTGATGCACTGCAAATCCTGGAGTCCTGGTGTGGCTCTGTAGGATAAACACTGGACTGTTAACCACAAAGTTGGTGGTTCAAACCATATGCAGGGTTGCCATGAGTTGGAATTAACTTGAAGGCTCTTAACCTTCATCAATTTAGATAGTTGATTTTCTTTTCTAATGAGATATTTTTGTGATTTTTGTCCCTAATCATGGTTCTTGTCTCTTAAGTAGGACGTCAAGTATAACTTTCTGAATTGAGGTCATTGTGGGTTAAAGAAAAGTAGTGTGCTTATCTGCTAATCTAAAGATTGGTGGATTCAATTCGCTCTCTTAAATACACACACACACACACACACACACACACACACACACACACGGCACTGCGGAATAAAGGCCAGGAGATTTGCTTCTGTAAAGATTACAGCAAAGAAAGCTTTATGAAGCAGTTCTACGGTGTAACACTCCAGGTCCCCATGAGTCAGAATCAACTCAATGGCATTGGGTTTTGTTGGTTCTTGGGCAAGTCATTTGCCTTGTCCTCCCTTATCTGTAAATGAAATTATTTGGAGGAAGTGGGTTAAGTGATGTTACATTGAAGGAATTGCAAACAAAGTGTGTGATTTGTTGAATGTAAATCTGATGATCTGCTCTGTGAATCTGAACTCAATGCATAAAAAAAGTTAAAAGAAAAAGAAGAGAGAAAAAGGCTTAGATGTGAGGGCTGCAGAGGTGGCCAGAGACACAGGAGCAGAAAAGCAATGAGCAGGGATGGGCTGCATCATCCCAACTCTCACCGGTCCCTGGGGGGCAGACATTTTATTAGGAACACCAGATCCAGCTTTGATTCCAGTGAGTAGGCTGAAGTGGTACCCTAGTAGATGCTGGTATTAAAAACAAAAAAGTTCCGAGGTTCATGCACCACGAGGCTTCAAAAGATTCATGGAAAAGTGGAATGTAAAGATAAGGAATTCTTCCAAGAACTTTTTGAAGCCCCTTCGTAGGCAACGAGTCTCAAAGAAGCAGTTGTGGGTGGAGAGAGAAGAAAAGAGAAAGGGAGGAAGTACGAAACTTCTCTTGGTGTTGGGGAGACAGCTCTCGCCCAAACCCTAAACCGTCGGGGTCTGGGAAAGGAGGCCCAGCAGGCCTCTTCCAGGGCAGCGCGGGGCTGTCGTCTCGGAGCCCGAGATCAAGCCCGGGAGTGGGTGCCCCCGCGGGCCGCGGCGGCCTCCGGGGTCCCTACCTCCCCAGCCCCAAAGTTGGGCACAACCCTGGGCCCCTCCAACGCGCGCTGCCCCGCCTACCTCCGCCCCGGTGTAGCGGGCCAGCTCCTCCTCCGTGAAGAGCCGCACCGGGGGCCCCCGCTCGGCGGGGCGCGGCGTCTGCCCGGCTCGAGCTGCGGGGAGCCCCGGGGCCAGCGCCAGAACCAGAGCCAGAGCAGCCAGTGGCCTCAGCCGCCACCCCGAAGCGGGGTACGACATGGTGAGCGTGCCGAGCAGGGCGAGGAGCGGCCCGGGCGGCGGCACCCGCGCGCTCCCGCCCGGAGGCCCCAAACCCCGCCCTGCGCGCGCCCGAGCCCTGGTGGCGGGACTCCGTGCCCTACCCAAGCCTTGAGTGCGTCCACTGCTCCTGCGGTCGTGCTGGGCTTGTTGGGCCTCAGTGAGCCGCCAAGCTGCACAATTGTGGAAGTAGAAATATGACCCCAAATCTCCTCATTAAACTCCTGGGTGGAAGTCGGGCATTAAGCAACATTTCTTTTACTGGTTCTGTAGACTACACACTCCAACCTCCCAGCATTTTAGGATAGTATGCTCATATGCTAGGATCCCAACTCTGCTAACAATTTCATTTTTAGCTGGTATCTTTTCCTCACTGTGGTGTTTAAAAAGTTTTAGGTCCTGAAACAGATTTTTGCAAAGGGTGGGGAATGGCTTCCAGGTGTGACGCTGTAGGATAAGCACTGGGCCACAAGGTCGGCGGTTCAAACTTACCAGTTGCTCCTCGGAAACCCTATACAGGGTTGCTGGGAGTCAGAACCGACTCAACATCATTTACAACAACAGCAAATGCTCAAAAATAGCAGCTAATGGTTCTGTAAGACTTTGTTCATTCATTAATTTTTTTTTTTTTTTGAGGGCTTCCATGTGACAAGTCTTTTTTGTTGTTGTTAAGTGCTGTCGACATAGCGACCCTATATAGTGTTTCCAAGGAGTGGCTGGTGAGTTTGAACGGCTGACCTTGTGTAATAACGACCTTTCTGTACACACCAGGACTCCAAAGTATACATTAGTGTTGATGAATACTGGTGGTGGTGGTCGTGGTGTGCCATCCAGTCAGCCCTGACAAATAGTGACCCTCTATAGGGTTTTCTCTGGTAGCGTAGTGGTTACGAATCGGGCTGCGAACCGCAAGGGCAGTAGTTCGAAACTACCAGCTGTTCCTCGGGAGAAAGATGAGGCTTTCTGCTCCTGTAAAGATTTACAGCCTCGGAAACCCTGTACAGGGTCGCTATGGGTCGGAATCGACTCGTTGGCACTTAACAACAATAGGATTTTCCGGAGTCCTGGTGTTGCACTGCGGGTTAACGTGCTGGACTGCAAAGTCGTTTGAACCACAGGGTCGGTGGTTCAAGCTCACCAGCTGCTTCTTGGAAATTCTATACAGGGTCGCTGAGGAGCTCTGGTAGCATAGTGGTTACGAGTCCGGCTGCAACCTCAAGGTCAGCAGTTCGAAACTACCAGCTGTTCTTGCGGGAGAAAGATTAGGTGTTCTGCTCCGGTAAAGATTTACAGCCTCATAAACCCTGTACAGGGTTGCTATGAGTCGGAACCGACTCCACGGCACACAGCAGCAGCAGGTCGCTATGGGTCAGAATTGACTCAACGTCACTTAACAACAATATAGGGTTTTCCAGGCTCCTGTAAATCTTTTCAGGAACAGAAAGCCTCATCGTTCTCCAGCAAAGAGACTGGTAGATTCTAATTACCGGGCTTGCATTTACAGCCCCGCTCCTAATCCCCTATACTACTATGTTGTTGTTAAGTGCCGTGGAGTTAATTGCAACCCTCAGCGACCCAGTATAGGAGCAGCTGGTGAACTTGAACCACCAACCTTGCAGTTCAAACAACTTTGCAGTCTGACACATTAGCCCACAGCGCCACACCAGGGCTCCTGTAGAATTCATGAATATTTCAAGTCCAGGCTTGATTTCTTTCTTCAGTACTTCGGCTTGAGAAGTGTTGAGTGTGTTCTTCCCTTTTGGTTTTCTAAATCCAAGTCTTTGCATATTTCATTATAATACTTACTTTGTCTTCTCAAGCTACTCTGTGGCATTTTTTATCCAACTCTTTTACTTCTTTATTTCTTCCATTCACTTTAGTTTCTCTATGCTTAAGAACAAATTTCAATGTCTCTTGTCATCCATTTTGTTCTTTTCTTTCTTTCCTGTCTTTTTAAGGAGTTGTGGTAGTGTAGTGGTTACAAATTGGGCTGCTAACATCAAGGTCAGCAGTTCAAAACTACGAGCTGTTACATAGAGAATGATGAGGCTTTCTGCTTCTGTAAAGATTTACAGCCTCGGAAACTTTGCTATGAATTGGAACCTATCCCACGGTTTTGTCTCTGTGGTCTTGTTTAAATTTTTTTTTTTTTTCCAGCTTCAGCCTTAATTTGCATATGAGCAATTGATAGTCTGTTCAACAGTTTTCCCCAGCCTTGTTTTAACAGATGATACTGAGTTTTTCAACCATCTTTTCCCACAGATGTAATCAATTTGATTCCTGTGTATTATATCTGGCAATGTTCGTGTGTATACTCATTTTTTATGTTGTTTTAGAAAGATATTGCACTGAATAAGTCATTGGTCTTAAAAAATTCTATCATGTGACCTCCATCATTATTTCTGTCACAAAGACCATATTTTACAACTACTGATCCTTCCTCTTTGTTTCCAACTTTTGCATTCCAATCACTAGTAATTATCAGCGCATTTTGATTGCATGTTTGGTTAATTTCAGACTGAAGAAGCTGATTGTTAAGTGCTGTCAAGTTGGTTCTGATTCATAGCAGCTGTAAGTGGGAGCTGAAAGCCTCATTTTTCTCCATCAGAATGACTAGTGGACTTGAACCACTGACCATGTGGTTTGAAATCCATTGCTTATTCTACAGAGTCATTGCGCTTCCATAGAAGTTGACAGAATTCTTCAATTTCATCATCACTGGCTTTAGTGGTTGGAGCATAAATTTGAATAATGGCGGTATTAACTGGTCTGTCTTGTAGGTGTTTGGATATTATCCTATCACCAATAGCATTGTACTTCAAGACAGACCTTGAAATGTTCTTTTTGATGATGAATGCAATGCATTCTTTATTTCTCATTACTGGCATAGTAAACCTATGATTGTCCAATTCAAAATGGCCAGTGCCAGTTCATTTCAGCTCACTAATATCTAGGATACAGATCTTTATGTGTTCTGTTTCGTTTTTGACAACTTCTAATTTTGCTAAATTCATACTTTGTACATTCCACGTTCTGATTATTAATGGATGTTTACAGCTGTTTCTTCTCATTTTGAGTTGTGCTTCATCAGTACATGATAGTCCTGAAAACTTCGCTCCATTCATGTCATATGGTCAGCTCTACTTAGAGGAGGCAGCTCTTCCCCAATTGTATTTTGAGTACCTTCCAACCTGAGGGGCTTTTCTTCTGGCACTCTATCTAACAATGTTCTGCTACTATTAATAATGTTTTCATCTTCTTTGAAAAAGGATAAGAGATGAAATGAGGCAGGTAAAAGTTAGGGGCTGATGATACAGTGTTCTCAGAGCACATATGTATTTATTTAAGACTTTGACTTTACTCTGAGTGAGGTGGGCAGCTATTTGAGGGAATGAAACAGCAGAAAGATTTAAAATGTTAGCTAGATCGCTGTGGCTGTCTTTTGTGAAAACACTGCAACAGGGAGCCCAGTTAAACAGCTGCTGGGATAATCCAGGTTAGATATGATGTGGTTTGGACCTGGTGGTAGAAGTGGAGGTGGTATATGCTGGGTATACTTTGAAGGTGTGCCTGATAGGATTTGGTGATAGGTAAGAGGTGGAGTATGAGAGGGAAATAGAGGAGTCAAGATGACTTCAAGGTTTTTTGTTTGGGCAACTGAAAGGAGGGATTTGCCATATACAGAGAACATAGAGGAGAACATAGGAGCAGGTATGGGGGAAGAAGATCAAGAGCTCAGTGTGAACATGCTGAGTTTGAGGTACATATTAGACATTTGCATGAACAATTTCTTTTAGAAAGATCAGCATGAGGCTGGTCCCTATGAGTTGAAGTCTAAAGACACTCAACTGTTCAACTTTTCTGACATGCTATAAGGAGCTCTGGTAGCGTAGTGGTTACGAATCGGGCTGTGAACCTTAAGGCCAGCAGTTCGAAACTACCAGCTGCTTCACGGGAGAAAGATGAGGCGTTCTGCTCCCGTAAAGATTTACAGCCTCGGAAACCCTGTACAGGGTCGCTATGGGTTGGAGCCAACTCGACGGCACTTAACAACAACAACAACAACATACCGCTCCATAATCCAGGTATGTTGTTGTTGTTAAGTACCACGGAGTCAGTTCCAACTCATAGTGACCCTGCACAGGGTTTCCAAGGCTGCACATCTTTACGGGAGCAGAAAGCCTCATCTTTCTCCCACAGAACAGCTGGTAGTTTCGAACTTCCAACCTTGAGGTTAGCAGCCCGATTCATAAACACTGATTTACACTGTATCACAAAACGGAGAAATTTGACTAGAAGGACCATAATAAATAATGAACTGGCCTGCATATCACCCCCTAGTTCTTCTAGCCATTTACCCTTTCATAATCATTTACCAGTGCAAGCCAGTCATTAACAAATAGTCATTCACTGCGGTAAAGAGTGGTGGGTAGGGTTACATCAGTACAAAACTAGTGGGTTGTCTCCACCACTAGGCAGTATGGTATACTTCATAGGATTTTCAATGGCTGATTTTTGGGGAGAAGGTCACCAGGCTTTTTTTTCTGGTTGTACTGGAGCCTCCAACTTTTCTGTTAGTGGATTAACCCTTTATACCACTCAGGAACTCCTGGCTAAAACAAGGGCCGTAAAAAATCTTTGCACCAGGGGCAGAAGCCATGGACGGGAAGCTACTAAAGACAGGGAACAAGGGAAAGAAAAACCCTGTCTTCTCTTTCACCCTCACCATCTCCAGTCTCCCTGTAGTGCTTCCTCTTGACTGAACCCAGCAGAAACCTAGCCTGTAGATCCAGTTGCTATTGCAGAGTCAGCAGGCAGAGGCAAGGACTGGACCTGAGAACAAACAAGCCCAGGCTCAGCACAAGCCGACATCTGCAATCTGGCCTGTGCCTACTTCTCAGAGAACTCTGTCTCTCCTATATGTGCGCCATCTCTCCTTTCCCCACTGTCTTCTGCTTCTGTTCCAACCTGGGGCTCTGAAATTCTGAACTAGTACCCTCTGCTTGGGGTACAGGCCTTCTTACCCTTAGGATCTTAACTCAAGACAGCTATCCTTGTGAAGCTTCTCTTGATCCTGCAGTACAGATGAAGATGAACCCCTTAACTCCTCACAGCTGCCCTGTTGCTATCACATATCCTGTTTTATTTTCTTTATACCTCTTAATGCTATATGACTTATTGTTGTTGTTCAGTTAGTGTGGTGCTGTGGGATAAAGCACTGGGTCATAAGGTTGGTTTGAAGCTCCTTGGAAAACCTATACAGGGTTGCTGTGAGGTAGAACCAACTTGATAGCACTTAATACCAACAACAATTGATTCAGGAGCTGTTAGAGTACCTAATAAGTGTCAGATACTGTTGAAGGCCTTAAGATATAGCAGTGGTCAAAACACACAAGAGTTCTGCCTTTGTGGAACTTACATTCTAGTGAAGGGAGACTGAAAATTAATGCATATCAGAACATAGTCAGTGCTAAGGAGGAGAACACTAAAACAGGGTAAGAGACATGCTGCCAGTGGGGTTTGCTGTTTAAATAGGGTGCTCAGAGACGTTATCACTGATGAGATGAGGTTTGGGGAAAGAAAGGAAGGAAATGAGGAAGTCATGTGGGATACCCAGCAGAAGAGCATGCTGGGCACAGGGAACAGTCAGTGTAAAGGCTGTTAGGTCACCTTGTGCTTAGCATGGGGCAGCGGAGAGATGAGGGGAAGAGAAGTAGGAGGGGTTGGGGGGTAGGCTGGCTCCATAGGCCACTGTGGGAACTTTGCAGGGATTGAAGAGGAAAAGTGGCAAGCTCTGTGTCTTAGCTATCTAGTGCTGCTCCAACAGAATCACCACAAGTGGCAGGCTTTAACAAACAGAAATGTATGTTGTCATAGTTCAGTTTAAACCCACTGCCAGTGAGTTGATTCCAACTCATAGTGAGCTATTAGCACAGAGTAAAACTGCCAATGGAGTTTCCAAGGTTGTACATCTTTATGGAAGCAGATGGCCACATCTTTGTCCTGAGGAGCTGCTGGTGGGTTTGAACCTCTGACTTTTTGGTTAGTTAGCAGTAGAGTACTTGATCCATTGCACTACCAAGGTTCCTTTCTCACAATTTAGGAGACTAGAAGTCCAAATTCAGGGTACTGGCTCTAGGGAAAGGCTTTGTCTCTGTGTTGGCTCTGGAGGAATGGCCTTGTCTGTTTTCAGCTTGTTGCTGTGTTCCTTAGAGAGCTCACGTGACATGGCATCTCTCTTCCTTCATGTGGGCTTCATTCTGCTGCAGTGGAGAAGGTGTGTGGACAGGTGAACAGATGAGTCTGAGCCTCCGTGGAGAGTTGGGGGCTAGAGATGTACATATGGGAATCTGCAGGGTATAGAGTGTAATCCCAGTCAGAGGAATAGAGGAGACCACCTCACTTAGCCCCTAGGGAGTGGGTAAAGAAGAGGCCCAATGACTTGGCTTTGGGGAACACCTTGTAGTGTTGAGATGGGAAGTGAGGTAGGACGAAAAGAGGGAGTATCTGCTGTTGTGGAAGTCAAGGGAAACTGTCACGGAGGAGAAACATCAGCTGAGTTAAATGCTACAGATGGAGGAGGATGGGGGCCCAGCTGCTTGATCTGACAACACAGAAGCCATTTGTGACCTTGGCAAGCATGGTTTCAGTGGAGTGGAGGGGTGGAGCCTCTGATTGGAGGCCGCTCACCAGGGAGTGGGAGGAGAGGATGTGGAGACAGTCAGTTCAGAAAACTCCATTTGCTTGTTTATACTCTCTCTCACCACACTAGCATGTGAGAACCACAGGAGCAAGGACCTTGGGTATACGAGTATTTTACTCATTTATCTTCAGGACCGGGCACATTGTATTTGTTAAATCATGTTAAATATTATACTAGTCAGTATCTCCTTCAAATGTAAAAACCAAACCAAACAAGTTATTATTAAGTTGATTGCAACTCATGGCAACTGCACGTATTGTTGTTGTTATGTGCCAACCCATAGGGACCCTGTATAGGGTTTCTGTGGAGCTTCAACCACCGATCTTGCAGTTCAAACCAACTTTGCAATCTAGTGCATTAACTGACAGAACCATATCAGTACTCCATATTACCCCATGTATTGTTGTTGTTATGTGCCGCTGAGTTGATTCCGACCCATGGCTACCCTGTATAGAGTTTCTAAAGAGCAGCTGTGAGCTTGAACTGCCAATTTTGCAGTTCAAATGACTTTGCAGAAGCCCTTAATTTTCCAGATTGTTTACATTTACAAAGAGTATAGAGGAATGAAAGGACTGGAATAGATTTCTCTGGTTCATTCCAGCTCTAAATTTCTAAGACTTTGTGGCTTGTTCTGTCAACCACACTGGTAATAATACAGTAAGAAATTTAACTAGTCATCTGTTTTGGCAGTGGCATGGCTGGAATAGGTGTTTCATTCATAAATTTAACAAACATTTGTTAAGTGCTTACAGTGTGTTAGCCACTATATATATTATATGATCAACGTATCTATTAGGGGGCTTCAAGAAGTTCATGGAAGAATGAAATTAAACAATAATGGAACTTTTCCATTACTAAAAGGTACTAGAATATGCTGCTTCAGGCTGTCGAGTCACTTCCATCTCACAGGCACCCTAAATAGGGTTTCTGAGACTGTAAATCTTTATGGGAGCAGAAAGCCTCATCTTTCTCCCAAGGAGAGACAGGTGGATTTGAACTGTTGACCTTTTGGTTAGCAACCTAATGCATAAACCAACTATACTACTAGGGTTCTTGGGAGGAAAAGTGAAAAAGATATGTGTGTATACACACACACACAGAGTCCTGGTATGGTGCTGCAGGTTAATGCGCTGGACTGCACGGTCGGTTTGAACCACAGGGTTGACGGTTCAAGTTCATCAGCCACTCCCAAGAGATCCTATACAGCATTGCTATGAGTCAGAACTGACTGGACAGCATTTAACAACAACACACACATATATAGGCGGACTCCTGGTATGGCGCTGTAGGATCAGCACTGGACTGCGAACCAAAACGTCAACAGTTCAAACCCACCAGCTGTTCCCTAGAAATCCTAAACAGGGTCGCTATGAGTCAAACTGATTTTGACAGCACTTACAACAACAACAATTTATATATAGGGTTTTAATAGATGCAAAAACAGAGGGCCTGGGGCAGGGCCTGCTGAAGTTGCAGGAGGTCCAGGATGCTTTGATGTGGTTGGGAGCTGCTATGTATGCCACTGAGGAGGGAAGAGGCCCTGAGTGCACTGACTGGAGGGGGTTGCAGGGTTGCAGCATTCACACAGAGCAGCGATCCAATCAGTAAGGCATAAGCAGCCTCTATCTACTGCACTAGGCAGCCCAGAGTGGCCACACACAACAGTTCGTCCTGAAGGGGGAGTGGAAAATGAGGTCCTCAGGTCCACTCTATCACCTATCACCTGACCAACACCCAATGTCCCACCACATTCTGGGCAGGAGGCTTCTGCTGTGAAGAGTGTCTTTAGGAGAGCCCTGCATTTTCCTGTGTCATCTCTTTTTAACTCTACAACAGGATGGGGTTTAGTAGCTACATTGTGAAGTCAAGGGTGGAGGCTCACAGCAGTATCGGCATATCTCCGAGATACTGTGGTTCTGGTCAAGACCACTGAAATAAAAAGCTAGTATCACAACACGGTGAGTCACATGATCTTCTCCCCCCTGCATATAAAAGTTATGTTTACACTATACTGTATCCTATTAAGTGCAGAATCATTATGAAACAGTTTGAAATACAGTATTATGAGAAGTAACAACATGTGAAATGAAATGAGCACATGATGTTGGGAAAGTGGTGCCAATAGTTTTGCTCAATGCAGCGTGGTGGTTATGTGCCGTGGAGTCGGTTCCGACTCATAGCGATCCTGTACAGGGTTTCCAAGGCTGTAAATCTTTATGGGAGCAGAAAGCCTCATATCTCTCCCTGGGAACAGCTGGTAGTGTCGAACTGCTGACCATTGTAAAAAACCTTCAGTAGCAAAGTGCAATAAAGTGAAACACAATAAAACGAGATAAGCCTGTACAACACCTGCAGGCCACGGCAGAGCCAGGACAAGAACGTAGTCTGACGTTCTGACTCCCATGATGTTTATGCCAGGAATACTGGAAAGAGCCTGAATTCTGTAGGCCATTCTTGAAATCATCTTTGTTTGATAACCACCCCTCATCCTATCTGCATCAGAGCACCTTACTTTCCCGGTATATAAAAATGGAGGAAAACACTCCCCTTACAGGATTCCCAGCAGGTTCAAGGGCATTATTGCTGTTGAGTGTGTTCCGAGTCAATTCCGACTCAAAAGACTTTTAGAGGGTTTCCGAGAAAGGCGTTGGGTTTGAAAAGCAGACGTTGTGATTAGCCATCCAGAGATTTATTCTACAGCGCTACACCAGGACTCTGTTCAACGGCATAAGGTGTGTGAAAAGGCTTTGTAACATGCAAAGTGCTCTCTAAACATTTGTTAGTTTCAAACCAGCAGGCCAAGCTTACTGTAGCAGTTATATGTCAAACGCTTCCGCCTATCTGACCTGGTTCACTTTACACACATCTAACCCCTCACTTCCACCAACCTCCCCGCAGCAAAGAGAAGCAGCGAAAGAGGTAGAGGGCTTAAGAGTCTAACGTAAGGATTTAGCCTGCTTGGTAGGAATGTGTTGGCTTCGTCGCCCCAGAACTACATTTCCCAGCAACACTTTTGCGGCGCCATAGGTGGCCGGAGCTAGAGGCATGCGCTGAGTACTGCCCCGCCTTGTCTTTGGGACCCACCTCCGAACCAGTTCTCTTCTCAGAGCCCGCGGGTCTTGGCACTCGTGCGGTGGTGCTCTTTTTTTCTCCTCATCCGAGGCCAGAGTGGGCTCAGGTGTGCCTTTGCTCTGGTCAGTGCCATGATCAGGCAGGAGCTGTCCACATCCTACCAGGAGGTACGAGTGAGTCGGGGACGGAAGCAAAGTTTCCCGTGAGGTGGCGGAGCGTGGCCCCGGGGGTCTGGGCGGGTGGGGAGCGGCGATACAGGAAGGAAGCGGGGTTTCGGAGGGGATGCTGCCCGTTGCTCTACGGAGGGATGGAGCCGGGCCCCCAGAGCCTCGATCCGGAACCAGCAGGTGAATTATTAAAGCCGCGACGGGCTCAGCCTGCTGCTCGGTGGCGCTGAGCGGACCCCTGGTGGCCCGGAGGAGGAGCCCGGTGTTGTTTGCAACAAGTGGCAGCGCCCGCTACCTTCTCCGAGCGGAGCAAATGCGCGGTCATTAGCATCAGCCCTCCTCCCCACAGCGCCTGTGGCTGGTGAGGGACTAGGGTTATTGCAACTGGTTTGGAGGGCCTCGCAAGTATGGAACTGTGCACTCAACGACATTGCTGTGTCTCCTCTGTCTCCAGTCTCACCCCCTCCCACGACTTTAACTATCACTTTCCAGTTCTTTGTCTCTGTCCAGAGCCACAGGCTTCCTTTCAAGTCTTAACCTCAGACCAGCTCTTCCTCCTGATCTCCCAGCTGTCTTAGTTTCATTGCTTTCCTAACCTCCTCCTCTCAGATCCAAATCTTTGGCATCTTTGTAAACTTCTTTTTTGCGCCTCTCCACCGTGCTTAGTCCTCACTTGCCAAGTTCAGGCAGTTCCACGTCGTCAGCCCTTCTCCATTTTGTGTCTTTGTTTAAGCACTGACCACCGGAGTGTGGTACTGTGTTAATCCCGTCTTATGTCTCCCCATATACTATCCAGATACATTTTAAGGTCTTGACTTGATCTTGAAGCATTCCTTCTTTTCATAGATGTCGCTGCCCTCGCTCCAACCAGAACAGTCCCAACTTCTGAGCAAGCTTTCCAAGCCCTATCCAGGGCTGTAGTTGTCGTTCCTATTTCTGTCCCCAATTTCTCACCCACCCAGGTTCTGGCCACACTGGAAACTCATAATATAAAAAGGTGCCCTATGCTTTCCCACCTCTGTTCATGTGCTCATACCATGTCTTCTTTAACCGCCTCCTAAACACCATTGGTTAAACCCATTGCTGTTGAGTAGTTTCCGACCTATGATGGAGTCAACTATAGGAGTTTCTTGGATTTAGTCTTTACAGAAGCAGATTGCCGGGCTGTTCACCCTTGGAACAGTGGAGTGGGCTAGAAGAACTTCAGGTTAGCAGTAGCAGCCAGGATTTCGTCTGTTGGCTAACCCCCTCACCCCCCAGATATTCAAGGACCGTCTCAAGTCCCCCACACACTGTAGAGACTGACTTCCCAGACCAGTCTAGCATCTTGTCTGTCCATTTCATTTCAGTAGTTACGATCAGTAGTAACTGATGTATGTATGATTCATCACACCCAAGGGCTGTGTGGATTGTATAAATATGACTGAGTCTCACAGTTGAAGTTGGAAAGCCAATTTGAAGACAGATGAGATTTGACTGAGGTTTGCTGTTTTTCAGTGTAGGACCGGAAACTGGGATCTGACACTGGGGCAGCAGAGTTCTGTTTTTCCTTTTATCCTCTCTTCTTTCTTTATTCAAAGAGGAAACCTGATGGATTTTAACCGGTTCTGTGGAATCCATGGTTTCTAGACAGTGGGAGCATTCCGGAGAATGGGACAAATCTGTTTCTCATAAAGTTTTCAGGACTTAGAACACAGTGGATAAGTACTAGGGTTTTGCCATTTGTATGTTTTGTCAAGTCACTTGACTTCTTCTTCATCTGAAAATGAAGACAATAGTCTCTTCCTCATAGGATTATTGTGAGAGGGTTAGATGAGTAGTGAAAATTGTTTAGCTCAGTGCTTAGCAGGTATTGGTCCTTATGGGATGGTAGCTCATTATAACTCTTGGTGGGCAGCTTCTGCTTCAAGAAAGCTTCGGGGTCCTGACTTAACAGGACTTTGTCTCTCATGCATCCACATGGAGCCTGCTCCTAAAATGTGTTATTAGAATATCGGTGGTCATCCTACTTGCAAGGGAAAACCAGAGGGAGAGTCAGTTGCTCTGTAAGGACACTCCCATGGTAGAAGTCTGAGAAGGGTCCATTCTGCTTGCTTTCTAAAGATACTCATTCTGAACTTCCTGTCTCTTGCCTTCTTCAGAGAAAGAAGGCTGCCCCAAGAATGGCCTGCACTGTTCTTGCCGAGATCATCGTCACAGTGAATGCTGTTACTCTGAGTTCTGTTTTTTTGCTGTGGGTAGTGGTGCATGTGGAAAATTTGTGTTAAACTGGCCAGGAGCAGGCAAGGCAATGGACTCCCTGTGGTTGTGGGCTGCCAGGAAGGGAACTGGGAGAGGGAGGAGGGTGTTGTCACCTGGGTCAGGCTGAATCTGGGTGAGCCTTGGATCAGAGAAGCTTGGGCATTCCCAGCCCTAGCCTCCTGACACACTAGTGGTATGGGCTTCCACTAATCTCCTTTCCCTTTGACCAGCTCTGTGTCTCTTTATCCATCTCCCTCTAGAGGCCTGTATCTCATGGTGCCTTCTCAAGCTTCCCACTAGGCTCCTGGGGGTTCTATCTGATTTTAAGGGGCAGGAATGGAGGCATGGAAAGGGAAAAGGAGATAGAAATACTCCTAGTTTCTCCTAGTTTCATAAGAACTTTATTTTAGCCCACATCTTATGGAGGTGAATTAATTTTTTTTAAATTTTATTTTGTTGTTGATAATACACACAGCAAAACATACACCAATTCAACAACAGTTTCTACATTTCCACATAGATAATTCAATGACATTTACTACATTCTTTGAGTTGTACAACCATATTTTAAAAAATAAGTTTTTATTGTGAGGTTTGCATGGAAGAATATCAGTTTTACATTCATTCTATCATATTTTGTTTCATTGCAATGATTACAATCCCCTCAAGCATCATCAAATAACCAAAGGGTACACCCCACAGGCCCACCCCCCAGCCATCAGCACACAGCCTCTTTCCCTCCCTGAGTCCAGAGTCCCCAGCCGCTCCATCTGTCCATGTTATCATCTCTGTCTCCATCCCTGACATCTCTTGCCTCTCTGGGTAGGGTCCTGCTTTCTGCTCTTCTCACTTGATGGTCCCAGGGACCTCTGCTCCTGGGCTGCAAAATCAATCTCTCCCCTCCTTTTGTACAACCATTCTTACTCTTCTCTTCTCAGTTGTTCTTCTCCCACTAACATAAAATCACTGCATCCTAAGGTTCCTATCTAATCTTTCTCTAGCTGCTGTTGTCAATTTGATGCTAGATAAGAGTATTTCTTAAAAGAGCATAATGTTCAAGGCAGACGTTCTTGACAAGTTAAACTGTTGTTTGGTTTTAAGACTTATGGGTATGTTTTTGATTTAAGGTTTAAATATTATCTCAGAGGAATAGTTTCAGGGATTCATCTATCCTCCATGGTTTCTAGAAAGCCTGGAGTCTGAGAATTTCAAATGGCAATTAACATTTTCCCCCTTTTGATCAGGGTTCTTGTATGCAATCTTTGATCAAAATACTTAATTCTGGTCTCTTGACAAAGGGAGCAGTTGTTCATGGAGGCAGTTAGCCACACATTTTATTTCCTCCTGATTTTGACTCTCCTTTGTTGTGCCTTGGATGGTTGCTTTGAGGCTTTTATGACACCAGGTACTATGTAACAGACTAGGAGGCAGAACAGAAGCACTAACACCTGCGTTAGGCCAATTAACTTGGCTGCCCCCCTCGGAGGTGATTTTAAATGAAAATGCCTTGAGAACACAAGCATTAACAACGTGAGCTGTAGGATAAGCACTGGACAGCAAGATCAGTTTGAATCGCAGAGATGGCAGTTCAAACTCAACAGCCGCTTCTCGGAAATTCTAAACAAGGTTGCTATGAGGCACGTAACAACAACGATCCTCTGTCAATTCAGTGATAGCTCCTCCTCTAATCTCTGGACTTGATCACTCCAGGAGTCCTGGTGTGGTCCTATAGAATAATCACTAGACTGCTAACTGAAACCCACCAGCCGCTCGTTGGAAACCCTATACAGGGTCACTATGAGTTGGAACCAACTGTACTGCACTTAACAACAGTAACAAAGCCCTATGCAGACTTGTTTGATATCAATGTAGCCCCATTCTGCCCTTCTTAGTGACCTTCTTTCTCCATTTGACAGAAAACTGAAGAAGTGGGATTGAATTTGCCTGGTGCCAGGCTGCTTATAATTAGCACCTGCCCCTGGAATGGACTGCCCTCTCCCCTGGGTTCTGCTCTTTGCAGCCTGAGTCAGTAGACTTTAGCCAGCGTCTTGGAGAGCTCAGGCACTGGCATCATTGTGCCCTCTGCTCTCCTAGCAGACCTTTAAGTGGCATTCCTCCTCTTTTGGAAAGTGGCTCAGACCATGGACTTTGGAGCTAGACCAACTTGGATTTGACGCCTGGCTCCATCTTTATAGGCTCTAGCTGCGTCTAGTTGAAGGGAGTTGACGTTTTTGGGCACAGACCCTACAGCTTGCAGCAATTAAGCGATAAGAAGCTTCTGCTTTCCTGCTCTCCTCTAGAAAAGCAAGGCTGAGGTAGCTGACTTGCATGTCTCTCTTTTTGTTTCTTTTTTCAGCTGAGTGAGGAGTTGGACCAGGTGGTTGAGAACTCTGAGCAGGCAGACGAACAGGAAAGGGGGACGGCCAAAGTCCAGGGTGCCTTACCTGGTAAGTGGGCTCTGTGCCAGGGTGGAGTGCTGGAGGGTGATTCTGTGCTTGTGTCGCAGCCTGAGGCCTAAGCCAGACCTCTCGACAGCTGGTTACTTGTAGGAGAGGAGGAACCCCCTGGTGTCAGATCTCAGGTGTTGCCCTAGTTTTAAAGTTATACATATTTAACCAGCCTTGAGACAGAGAATCCTTCCGGGCTGATGTCTGCTTTTCTGTACCCCAGTTTGGGTGTAGCCCTTTGGGTGAGGTTGTCAGATGCCCTAGCAAGGACTTTGGGCCTCTGCTCTGACCTTCTTCCTTCCTAGAGCAGGGTCTTTTGAGACGGTCAGTTGTGTTTCATGGAGCCGCTGAGCAACGTTTGGCACTGTTGACTACTTCCTCCTCCTGGATCCTCTCAGCTCCCTATATTCTACACTTAAGGTCATTCCTAGACTCTCACTCCTTTGCAGTCTCATTCAGCTCTTGAGTGTTAAGTCTTTATCCTGCCTCCCTTCTCACTCTTCGTGGGCAGTGTCACTGAGGCCCAATGAGTCACTCAATCCACTTCAAACCTAGATAACCCATCTGTACTCTGCTGCCTAGCTGACAGCTCAGCTTGTATGGCTGTCTTCAAGGTACTCTAAATACACGTGTCCAAACTCAACCTCATGATCTCCTACTCCCAGGTTTTGTGGATTGAACTGTGTCAATCCTAATGTGTCTGTACGTGTGACCTCTTTGGAAATAATGGTGTTCTTTTGGGGTTAGTGGGTTCTTGTGGTAACTGAGCATAGAAGGGGGCACGGTGGGCAAATTCTGTCTTCATTGCAAACTATGTGGTAAGGAGCAGCAGGAATCCAGTTGCAGCCGAGAAATGGGTGTAGTCTTCACCTTCCAACTTCTTCACCCTTGTCACCAGCCACTCCAAGCAGCATTCTTTTTCTGCCTATGGCTTAGGCAGTGGCCATTGGCTACAAGCTCATAAATCCACATGATCTTTTCCTCTTCAGACCAGCCAGCTCCATCTTTCTCTTGTCTCTAACTCAGAGACTAGATCTGAGCAAAATGTTCTCTCTCTCCACTCCAGAAGCCCCACTGAGTCCCCATCTCCTAAAGCCTGTAGTGGCCAGGATCACTGACATTGTCGCTCTGAGGTTTACTCCGTATGGAGCTCAGGTGAGCCGCTAGCCTCTGACTGATGTCATTTAGAGCCAGCCTCAATCTCCGCCTTGAGGCGGTTCTGCTTTCAGAGACTCGGAACAAAAGGTGGAGCTGCTTTCTTCACCTCATTGTGCTGAACCTCATCCCTTGTGAACCTCATCCCTTGTGAGTGGTGGGATAAAAAGAGCAGAACAGACACACACACCAGGGGAAAGACCCTGTGAGGAACCAGCTACAGGCCAAGGAACGCCCAGGGCTACAGATGGGAAGGATTCTCCCCTAGGGCTTATGTTCGGATAGCGATTCCACCCTCCAAAACTGTGAGACAGTATATTTCTGTTTGTTAAAGACAAATTTGTGGCATTTTGTGTAACAGTAGCACTAGGGAATGAACAGTTCTCGTCCAGTGTCCACTGTACCCAGGAATGGCACCACCACTCATCCAGTTGAACTTTGGGGTCCTTGTTGAGTTCTTCTTTTCCCTTCCTCCCCTTTTTCTCCACTCTTCAGCAGTGCTGACCTTTGATTCTGAGCCTCAATCCCTCCCATGGGGCATTTTTGTTTTATTCTGCTGCCTAGCATTCTCTTCCCTCCAACACCTAGTTAATGCCTAATCATTCTTCAACTCTGAGCTCTGGAATTTCCCCTTAGTCTCTGTGACCTTCTAGATGGATCCCTCCCTGCCCTCCCCTGCTCTGTCACTTGTTGCGTGTTCTATCTCCTTTGCAGCTGTCACTGGTGGAAATGTATATTTGTTATGTGACTGATGAATAGCTGTCTTTCCTACTAGAATATAAGCTTCGTGAGAGCAGACATCAGTCCGTTTTGCTTAGCACTTTAGTCTAACCATACAATAAATATTTGTTGAACGAATGCATGAGTGAATGGAGCCCCAGCCTGAATTTTGGGGGAGATTAGTTTTTGCTCCTTTGACTCCTGTACTTGCTGGGGGAGGGAAACTTGCTAGGCAATTCTGTAATTCTGCCTCAGCCTTAGAAAACACTTTATTAAAGGAAAGAGGCTGGAAGGGAAGTTAATGTTTACTGATTGCCTCCTTTGCCTGAGGCACTATCCTACCTTTGCCCCATTGCATTCTCAGAACGATCCTGTGAGGATTATCCTCATTTTTACTCATGGGGACCTGAGGCTCAGGGAGGGTAAGGAAAGTTTGGGACATTACATAACTCATAAACTGAGAGAGACTAAACTAAGCTTGGTCTAAACCCCCTTTTACTACACCAGTGGTTTTCAAAAAGGAAACAAAACGTAAGCATCCTGTTTTTAAAAGCCTGTGTGTAAAGGTAGTGGGGCATGATTGCCCCCTGCACTGACAGGCACTGCCCAAGAAGCCCTAAGGCTCCAGGAAAAGCAGTTTGAAAGCCCCACAGGGCTCTCTGTCCTCCAATCAGAAGACAGTAGATAAAGATGTAATGGAGGCATCAAGGAGAAGAGGAAAGGTCAGATTTGGAAAGATGAGGCTTCTTTTTGTGTTTCCTTTGATAGTAAATGGCCAGGCAGATTTGGAATTTGCCATGGTGACTTGATGGCAGCATCCTCTCTTGCTCCAGTGAGATTCCTAACACCTGAAATCCTGAGGTCAGAGCATGATGCCAGGCCCCAGGCAGAACATACTTAAGGATATTCCATTCACAGGCAAGAGCTTTCTCTGCTTTTGGGTGACCACTGCTGGGTTCCTCTCCTTTCTAGGCCTTAGAAGGTCCAGTTCTTAGAAGTTCATTTGGCTAGTCTCAGCTGAGACTTGACCCAAAGTTGGTAGTTGGTAGTTGGTTGGTTAGAGGCATTTCCTGCCTCTAACCTTCTAACAATGACAAAAATAACAGTAATGATGAGAGTGTTTTCATGTCCTAGGCCTGGTAGGATTTTTTTTGTATATACTTTATCACATACTTCTTTTCAGCTCCTCTCTGTGGGAGAATTGGTAGCTCTAGTTTACAGATGAGGGAGGACCCTGAGGCACAGAGAGGTTAAGTAACACACTCAGCGCTAATGAGTGGCAGGGTCAGAATTGGAACCCAGGGCTGTCTTCCAGGATTTTTCAACTTTATTCTTCGTGACTTCAAATTCTCCCCTCCCTCCACCAGAGTCACTCTTGGACTCCACCTGTTATGCCAGATGCTGTAACCAGATGCTGTAACCACAAAAGCATGTGTAAGGTCTGGCTGAGTCCAAGGAACTAGGGCCATGTAGAGAGAGAAATGTTAACCAAGGAGACAACTTAATCCCTCCTCCAGAGCCTTCCATGCACTCCCTAAGCAGGTCTCCTGACACTCACTACTTCTCTGTATTGCACTTCACTTAGTTGAGAGTGCATTTTATTGAGTGTTATTAATTGCTCTCATTCCTTTGATTAAATGCTCTCGTGCCTCCGCCCTGCTCCAGAGACTTTGTTCCCTCCAAAGACGTTATTCCCCCCACTTTTCATTGTAATTCTAGTGAGCACCTGGCCCATTGTAGGTGTTCAGTGCCTATCTGTGGAATGAATGAATAAGTGCCAAAGAAATGGTAGAGACAGGTGCCTCAGGAATGAATGAAGGAGGGCTGACTTGTGGGAGGAAGTGGGTCAATCTGAAGGAAGGAACACTTAGGTGGAAAAGAAGGGGCTGGCCAAGGAGGAGAGATAGCATGAGTTAACTGTGTAGAGGTGGAATAGAAAAAGGACATTCAGGAAACAGCACAGTATGATTGGAACAGAGGATTAGGGAGGAAAGTGGAGAGAAGTGAGGTTAGGAAGATAGACTGGGTCAGACTGTGGAGGGCTTTGAGTACCAGGAAGTATTTAAAGGGATTGAAACTGGGGAATAAGAGGCATGAAATAGGGATTTAGGAAGACCTTTGTGGCCATTGATAGCTGAGCCACATCAAAGGCTAGTATGATAGGGTGCTTTGATATGGGAGAGTGGCAGAAGGAAAAATCAAAGACAAATCTGAAGTTCGAGCCAGATGAATGGAAGAATGATAATTTCAAGGAATAGAGTCTGGAAGGACAAGAGGCTTGGAAGAAAGACATTGAGCTTCAGTTGATGTGGGGCATCTTCAGGCAGAAGGCCCTGAGAGACATAGGATTACCAGTAGACAGGTGAGGGCTGGAGATGCGAATGTGGAAGAGGTCCTGAAGGGTGAGGACTGGGGGGAGCCTGGGAAAAGCCAGGAATAGAGTGTAGAATGAACAGGGGAGGGCCATAAAGACCCACACTGGATGACCCTTTGTTCACATTGGGGACCAGAGGCAATGGTGCTACTGGAGTTACTGAATAGAGGGCCTGGAACTAGAAGTACCAAGACGGGCTTGTTGTTGTTAAGTGCTGTCGAGTCGGTTCTGACCCATAGTGACCCTGCAAAGGGTTTCCTAGGAGTGACTGGTGAGTTTAAACTGCCGACCTTGCTGTTCAAATGACCTTTGCAGTCTAATGCATTAACCCACAGCGCCACACCAGGACTCTTGGTGGTGGTGGTGTGCCTTGGAATTGGTTCCAACTCATAGGGACCCTGCATAGGGTTTTTGAGGCTATAAATCTTTATGGGAGCAGAAAACTTTCTTCTTTCTCCCGCCTAGCAGCTGGTAGTTTCGAACTGCTGACCTTGAGGTTAGCAGCCCAACTCGTAACCATTATGCTACCAGAGCTCTTACATGCCCAAATTTCAGAGTTTCTTCTGACATCCACTTAGGTATTTTCCTTCTTTCTTGTTCTTAATGACCTTTTGCTTTCTTCCTGTATGATGTTCTTGATAATCATCCCACAACTCTTCTGATTTTCAGTCTTTAGTGTATGATGCGTCAAATCTGTTCTTTAGATGATCTCTAAATTCAGGTGGGATATATTCAAGGTCATATTTTTACT